GGAGCAAATTACCCTCCTCCATCCCCAGCTCCACCTTTCGCCACAGTCAGGACTTTCAGGACAGACAAGCTTTCTGATATTCCTTGGTAATCAGACTCCTTTATCTTGAATAATGTGTTACACTTAAATATCATTAAGTACATTAATGATATCTGCCTTGTTCTGTTAACCCTAGGGGGGTTATTATTGCTGCTCTCCCTGCTCATTCATGACAGGCTGCATGGATGGGCAGGGAGGTTTTTGCCCATAACAGAACCATACCGCCAAACCAAACTTTATGCTAAGTATTTATCATTTTGACGATAGTGGTCCTGACAGAACTACTAGCTGTTTTTTAAAAACAACAGTGATGATCAAATTAAAAACAAAACAGCCTGTTTTTCAGTTTCCTGAACAAGAACAGTTTGAACCTGTGAAAATGTTCTGCATTTTTTTTTACATAAAAGTGTAAACAAACTACAAGTGATACATATGCATTACGAGAAAATTAACACAATAATACAATTCATATCATGAATCAAAATTATATACACGTACAACACTTTAGATATTGATCTTTGGGGAGGAACTCCATCTTTGAGTTGATCTGAATCTCAAAGTTGAAACTGCTGGTCTTGAAGATGAACTTTATTCACTGTCTTGGCAAGTTTAGATGATGTTTCTTATGACAGATTTATATGGAAGAGATGCGGTGTAGCACTTTAAGCAAAGGTAACCTATCTAATGTGAGTTTTTTTATGACTGCGTAGATTAGATGAATGAGTGCAACTCTTTCCACATGCAGAGCAGTGATGAATCTCTTGTCGCAGTGTGAACACTTGTACGGTTTCTCTCCAGTGTGGATCCTCTGGTGTCGTTTCAGTTCTGTAGCTGTAGGTATTCATTCATTGCACATATTTTCATCATGCAGACACTGTCAAATTGACAAAAAATGGCATCTCCATTTATACAGGATCCTGTAGACAAGGAGGATGCATTGATTCGTAGTGAGTTTTTTTTTTTTTACATTTTTTTACATGCATATTTATTTGAGCGGTAACATTTTTAAATGGTAGTTTTCTATAAAACATTGAAGATGCAGAGCACATTAGTAAAGCCGCTGTATGCAGACTGATAAGGAAAGTGTGCCTCGCTCTCATGCTCATTCCGAGAATTTTTGTGTTGTTTCATGGGCACAAACTTGTCAAAGAGTAGTTTCACAGGACTGCAGGTCAGTGGTGTAGAAATGGGTTTAAATAAGGCTAATCTGATAAATGACGTTCCCTTGATAACATCCTGCGACCTCTGGAAGTAAACCAATAATTAGAATTTCCTTCAGGATTTCCAGTGTGGTTGAATGCATTGTTGACACGCATATTCCCGTCATCGCACCTTCTGAAAATGAAACGGATTTCTGTATGGAATGGAAGGATGCCAGATGGAAATGTAGTACGAGATATATGCCGTAACCACCACCACAGCTGTTAAATAAACACAAATTATTCATTATTTATTTGGTCATCTTTATTTCCTACAAATACAAAAGCAACAATTATTATTTTTCCCTTTAAAAATCTTCCAATACTTGACCATCTCCTCTTCATCTGTCAGTGGTGCTGGTGCAGGTTCTTCTGCCCATTTTGCGAGCCTCTGTCTTCTTGCTGTTGACTGAGTAGGCCTACAAGTCAGATGTTAATTTCATTACTCTAATTAAGAAATGTAAACGGTTGGATTAGAGAATATTTAATTATGTGAAAAGAGCGTTAGACTTTGTGGAAAAAGCTGCTGCCCATTGAAATAGACACGGAATGATATTTAATATGTCAAATGTTTGTAAAGTCACGTAGCCTACACCCATGAACCTTTTATGCTTAAAGCTTTTGAATTGTTTTTATACTTCATTTTTAGCTGCTGTCATGTGCTTTTTTTTGCCATGGAATACCATGAAAATGATTATTAGTTCAATAGTTTACAGTTTTCACCTCTGATATTGTAACAGTGATTAAGAATTAAAGTTAGGTATTGACTCGGAAGTATGCAGACCTCTTTTTGTTGGGTGCTGTTTTCAGGGTGAATCATAATTTCAGAGCTCCACTGATCATGACTTCTCAAAGTCGTGGTGCACGCACTAAATTCAGAGTCAACCTACTCAAGAGTGGATAGAACTAACACAATTCAGCTGTTCTGAAACCGAAAACTCCCACTTCAGGGTAAGTTTCCCATTTCAGGGTAAGTCAACTCAGAGTTCACGTTTTAACTCGGAGTTGGTTGAACCTCCTTATTGAAACGGGCCCCTGATCCTCTTGAGATGCTTTGCTATATTGTTAGTCAATAAAGAGGGAGGTCTGTCTCGTTATCTTTATATTACTGGTATTTTCTGTATCATTTGGTAAGTAATAGTAATATTAGAGCACTTTAATGGGCTTTCAGCATATATTCTGACTCAAACAATCAGTTTCTATCAGCAAACACTCAGAATAAAGTGAGATGATCTGCTGATAAACTTGAATGGCTTGTTTAATGAGTGTTTATAGTCTGAGGCTCATCAATATTATCAGCTGCTGAAAATCCTCTTTATTTCATGTCAATAGATCCTGTTTTCACCTCATTCATTATGCTGATGACTTCAGATCTGTTAATTGCAGCATTAAGCTCATTTTATTGGTGTTAACAGACTTAAGCAAATAACACAATCAGCTATTGTGACATTATAGGTAGGCTCCTATCATAACATCATTTATTCTATAAATCTGTAATAAACCATGCTTTATACACAAAACTAAAACACAATAAATAAATACAAGTTGTTAAGTTAAACTCCACTGGTAGGTTCTTTGTTTTTTGCAAATTTGTACTTTTATTTTCCTAAGTTTGTTTATTTTCATATTTTCTTACATTGTTTATATTTGGCATTATTTAAAGGCTATATGTTAATGAGAGGTAAGATAAAATGGAGGAATAAAATATGTGGATGAAATATTTTTAAAATAAAAAGAGAATTTGTGGATTATTCTAAAACACTTTACGATTAATTTACTTAAAAGATATTGATATTTGAACATAAATAATTAAATTGTGTGAATTGATGTAAAAAATAAACTCAGTAACTGATCTTTAATTTTGGCAGATCTGCTCCTCCTTCCGTGAAGCTCCTCCCACAACAATCACACCTTCAGTGAAGCTCCTCCCACAACAATCACACCTTCAGTGAAGCTCCTCCCACAACAATCACACCTTCAGTGAAGCTCCTCCCACAACAATCACACCTTCAGTGAAGCTCCTCCCACAACAATCACACCTTCAGTGAAGCTCCAATAAATGCTGGAATATTCCCATCAGTCTACAAGTGAAGACGAGCATCAAAGCATCAGGAAGAAGTGAAATCTGCAGAGACAGAGTTTATTGAAGGACAGAGAGAACATGAGAGATCCAGAACCCTGCAGAATGAAACACACTGAAGAACAAACAGGTTGGTGATTATTCTTCATCCTTCATCAATGAAGCTGAAGAACATTAAGGTTATCAGCAGTTCATCAGATAGTAGAAAAACACAGTTAAACTAATAAATAATATAGGGGAAACTTTCTTTGTGCTGGAAACAGAGCAGGGCCTGAAACTGAATTGTCTTTCATTTTCATATTTTGATCAACTGGTCAGTTCAAGATTTTGTAAACTTGTAATCAGAATTTGGGACATGCCTAAAATACACTTTACAACTCTGACACTGATTTTCCTTATTTGTGACCCTGGACCACAAAACCAGTCATAAGGGTCAATTTTTTGAAACTGAGATTTAAACATCATCTGAAAGCTGAATAAATAAGCTTTTTTTAAGCATTGATGTATGGTTTGTTACAGAGGTGGGTAGAGTACCCAAAAACTGTACTCAAGTAAAAGTAAAAACTAAAAGTAATAGTCTGAATAGTTACTTGAGTAAAAAAGTATCGGATAAAAAAAAAAACTACTCAAGTAGTTAGTTACTAGTTACTTTTGATCATATACTGTATATCTATAGTCTATTTTTATTTAGATATATAGATACAATTTATGTAATGTATGTTACATAAATGTTTTCCTTGTTTTATACCAAGAAGAAATTGTATTGTAACAGTGTTGAGTGAACAGTGTAGGACAGCTAATAAATTGTCAGTTTAAAATGAGTTAATTAGTCAACTGAATATCCATCTGAGAAACTGTAGCCCTATTGTATAGTTTATTAATGTTATTATTATGTTAGATAATTGTGGAGTTGATCAAACATTGATTAGTTCTCACTACAGAATCATTGGATTCGTGCCTTTAATGTTAAAAAAAGTAGTAATTTGAAGATAAGTGTACCTTGTTCATGGAAAGAGATTTATAAAAATACATCAAAATTATCATACATTTTGTGTAGCCCTTTTCTGCTTCACATTTCTCAGATTTTTCTTATGATTAATTTATTGTAACTTTTTTACTTTCATTTCAGCCCTGCTGGAGGAGAGTAAAGAGCAGAAACATCATAATGTCAAAAGTAGAGAAAAAACTCGCTCACAGACAGAAAGAGTTTCTTTACTGAAAAGTAGAGACAAGAAAAGTTTCACCTGCACTCAGTGTGGAAAGAGTTTCACATGCAAAGGGAATATCAGTGTTCACATGAGGATCCACACTAGAGAGAAACCGTTCACATGTGATCAGTGTGGGAAGAGTTTCACACAAAAAGTAAACCTTAATAACCACGTGATCATCCACACTGGAGAAAAACTGCACCCATGTGATCAATGCGGAAAAACATTTTTGAGGGCTTCAAGCCTGAAGGATCACCTGAAAGTTCATTCAAAGGAGAAACCACATTCATGTTCTTTGTGTGGAAAGGGTTTTTCATATCTGCAGAATTTAAAAGTTCATCAGAAGAGACATACTGGTGTGAGAGATCATATGTGCTTTGAGTGTGAGGAGATTTTTATTACGGTTACAGAATTGAAGCAGCACCAGAGGATCCACACTGGAGAGAAACCTTACAAGTGTTCACACTGCGACAAGACATTCAGTCGGTCAGATACCCTGAAAAGACATGAGAGGATCCACACTGGAGAGAAACCATATCACTGCACTGCATGTGGGAAGAGTTTCAGGCATTCATCAGAGTCATTTAATCATACAAACAACAATCACTGTAAATTCAGTTCAATTCACGTTTCTTAGTATAGCGATTTTCACAATACAAATCGTTGCAAAGCACTAGTAATTCTTAGTTACCTCAGGATGCCCATCACGTGGCAGAAACAGAGAAGCAGTTCACGCTGTTTCATGTAATTGTAAAATACACGCTGCATAGTTTTACGGGGTAATTTCTGAATAGTTTTTATCTGTCTCAGTACTATTGCCTGCTAACACTTATTGGTATCTAAAGAAGGCTTGTAAACGGAGGGAACTATTTTGTTGTTATGAATGCAGTTATTAGAAAAACTAAGTATATTTAGATTCATATGGACAAATCATAATGGCTTGTTTAATGAGTGTTTATAGTCTGAGACTCAGCAATATTATCAGCTGCTGAAAATCCTCTTTATTTCATGTCAATAGATCCTGTTTTCACCTCATTCATTATGCTGATGACTTCAGATCTGTTAATTGCCACATTAAGCTCATTTTATTGGTGTCTTAAGCAAACGACACAATCAGATATATATATATCATAACAGTATTTATTTAATGAATCTGCGATAAACCTTGTTTTATATAAAACAGACTAAAACATACAAATAATTTAAATGTATAAAAAGTTTTGTTTCTAAAAGCATTTACCACAGCAACATAATGAAGCTAAGGCCACAAGTCTACTCATGTTTAATTTAAAATCTGAGGACATTATCTGTAAAACTGTGCATTTTATGAAACATTTTGTAAACAATGTCATGTGTGTTTTTAGAGAAGGCTAATAAAAGTCTAATAAAAAAAAAATTGTCCTGGCTCTGTATGCTCTTTTGCATGCTGTTGCCTCATGTCTGGCCCGGCAAACTGCCCCATTCATGATTATATTGTTCTCACTCGACAAACCTTTCACGCCTCCGCCAGGATTGAGACATAATCCTCATTATTCCTTTATCATTATTCTTTTGTTTTATTCAGCCATTAGTAGCCTTAATTCTGGCATTACAAGGTTTACCAAGCCACATCGCTTCGATCCCAATATACATTTACCCGCCTATTATCAAAAGTCTTTCTAAAAAAATACAACAAAACATTTTCTTGCGACCTTACGTCAATTGTATTGACAAAATACATTATGAAGAAGAACTGCACCTTTTCTACAGCTGCATTAGAGCTAATATTAGCATCAAGCTACATAAGACAATTTATTATATTATTAGTACACTTTGACTCAAAACTTACTTTAAACCACCATCGAGTGTTTGTAATAACTTCCTTTGCAATCTCATGTGGAATCTGGTCATTTATTGTTGTTGAAATATGCTATTTATAGCCTTTTATATCGATGCAGAAATGACCATTTCAGATGTTCACATTCTTTATTGTTATGAAATACCCCAAATATCAAGAAAATCACATACAAACCACATACTATCGTAATCTTGTGTTTATTATTTGGATATTTCGTGGGTAAATATGTTACTGTTTGTTTGTTGTGGTCAGATCTGAACGCAGAAGCGCATCATGGGATGAGACCGGACGGGATATGATGCGCAGTTATGATTGACAAGCGACGGGCGAATCAGGTTTCCTCTGAGTCAGAGCACGAGCACAGAAGAGTAAACACACCGAGACAGTCCAGGGAGCTGCTAGTTTTGAAAGGGAAACATGTGTAAATATATCTATATATCTCCATGTATATGCATCTTTGGACTATAAGCCCTTATTGATGCTGTTCAGTGAAGCAATATGAACACAAATAAACTGCTGCAGACGTGACTGAATATGAATGCCTGGTGAATTTTTATTCCAAATATGACACATACAGATTTATTATTTTGCACTCCTGACATAAATTTATCAATTACTGTCACCGCGACAATGTTTTATCAAAACAGTGGTCAAATATCGAAGCTAGAGTCTTTAATCTTTCTAATGATGCACAGTTGGTCCAGACCAAGTAAGAGTGTGATGTTTTAACATGCTGTGAAAGTGAATCAACAATAATCTGAGGCCGTTGCCAATCTTTGTGAGTTAAGGGGTTAAAATATGTGGATAAAATTATTTGAAATAAAATGAAATCGAATTTGTGAATTAGTATAAAACACTTTTGCAATTAATTTACTTAAAAGTTACTTTACTAGATGGATAGATATGTAAATATTAATACTTAATATTAATACTGATTACTAGGACTGGGCAATAATTTGATAACGATAATTATCGCGATATAATTTTCCTCGATAAAACAAAATGAAGAGTTCTATAAATGTTTGCTATAATGTTTATGTGCCAAAAGCGGAACGAAACAGCACGACTCATTTGAATCGCGCCACACTAACCGTTTATCTGCTCGGACTCCCGCGCGGCACAAGCTCACTAGAGCAGATGTGTTTACCATATGCGTTCACTAACAGTGCGTTTCCACTGGCACGTAGCAAGCGCAGCGGAGCGAGCGTTTTCAATTAATTCCTATGGAAGCTGAGCATAAACGCTTGCGCGGTGCATTATGGGATTGAAAGCGGCTTGGAGAAAGCGTTGAAAGCGGCCGAGAGTGTCAAAATGGTTGGGCATTCCTCGAATTTATGCAAATAATGAGCGAAAAACGCCGGGCGACAACCAATCGCTGTGACATGTAGGCAAGGCAAGATTTTGACGTAGCATATGCTTCCGAGTGTTTGCTGAACTGGTGGATTACTGAGCTGAAATCACTTGTCGTTCAAAAAAGTCATATACAAAAGTAAATGCACTTTGCATGCTTTCATTATATGCAATGGATGGGTGAGTGAAACTGTATTAAACTGTCATTGTATATAGGCCTATTACATGTATAATGAAAATGTTTTCCTTCACACTTTAAGTTTACACAAACATATTGTAATAAATGTTTCCCCTACTGCAAAACCATGTACATGCCTGTTTCTGCGTCCCAATGTACCTACTTATACTACGCCCTTAAAGTATGTACTTTTTTGGTGAAGAAAAAGTACACACTTTTGAGTGTGTAGTAGAAGAGTAGGCAAGCTTTGGGACATACTATCACGTCATACAGTTGCATCTTTAACAGAGCGCTCTGTCGCACAGTTACACTGTAAACTGGCCTGTCAATCATCTTGTCACAGTTAATATCCTCCACATTTTATTTCATTTCACTTCCTACCATACCGGAGAGAAAAGAAGTAGCACATTGATCTGCGAGCCATGGGTCTTCATATTTTCTGCATAATGATGCATTTAAAAGTTAACGAACAAATGGATGTTTATAAAAGTTCACATTGCTATTGCAGATGAAATATAACACAGATAACATTAAATAAATATTTTTTACCAGGTTAAATGTTGATTATTAGTAACTCAAACCCCTTTATCTTAACCTCTCTACTTAACCATCGGTCGCGCACATCCACCATATTTGTAGTTTTTAATGCTTTTTATTCGTGTTTGTAGTTCTCAACCAATCATTTGTCAAAGCGCAATGGATTGTGGGTAATATTAGCCATTAGAGTGTGCACGGATCCACACTTCAAAAATCAACCCGAAATAGTAGACCATCCGGGGACTTTTGGCATACTCTTTTCAACATACTATGCTTTGGGACACACTTATTCTAATCTCACATATTATTTAGGATGGATAGTATGAACATTGGGACGCAGGGTGTGTTTATTTATTGATAATTTCTTCAAAGCAGCCATTAAACAATGCACATATGATAAATGTGTAGGGTATCAGACCGAATCAGACAATCTAAGATTTGGTCAAAACATGGTTGAAACATGAGGAGCCCAGAATTCCACAGAGGCCTAAGACAACAGGATGTTCATAAATCAGACCCTAGCACTATTGAAAAGAGAAGTATCTTGTGTTTTGTGCTCACAAGATAATGTCTTACACTGCCGATCTTGTTACTGTGCTAATTACTAGTGTTTTCACTATATTTTGGATATAAATATCCATTGCAGAATTGATGTCATACGGCTCGTTCACTGAATCGCTGGCCGTCTCAGTGATCAGCCGTAAAACAGTGATTCTGTCCAAATTCCCTTACATATTATTGGTGGAGTTCCCTTTAAAATCTTAAATGATTCCCTTTGAGCTAAATTGACCTGTTTCCCTTACAAATGTGTAAACACGCTGTCTTCCAACTAGTTAATTTGCAAGCAGCACAATGGAAGAGAAGCTGATTGTTGCTGTGCGTTCTTTCCCGGTACTGTATGATACATCTCTGTATTCATATAGAGACACAGCAGTGAAAAACGAAGCATGGCGCAAAGTGGCAGAGGCTGTCTGTGTTCCTGGTAGGTTCAAAAGTAGTAAAAGTTACATCTGTTTTTGTCATAATCCGCAATAAGTATAGGCTATAATTAAAGCCAGCCTCACATATTTACAATAGGCTATTGATTTGCAGTTTTTAATATATACTGATGCACTGAAATATAAACATAGTTTTATGAATGCAACAGACAAAAGTAGATGGTTCACCTCAAATATAAAAGCACATCTCACATACTACTTCTCACATACATCTTTTTTAGTAAGAAAAATGGCTTTCAACAGTACCAGATAATATTTGTTTTTGTTGTAGAATACATTTTTTATTCAAAATTCAGTTCAATATAACTTGCTTTTGAAGGACTCAAGATGGATCCCTAACTAAACTGAGCTGTTCACATGTTCTGTTACAAATAAAAATAAACAATGCAAAAAGTATGATGCAAAAGTAGGAGATGATTTTATTCAGAACAAACAATAGAAGAGCATTATCAATTTTTCATTGATCTAACAATTATTATACTGTACAATGAGATTTTGTTTTCAAAAGCTACATTAGTAACTCATTTGGGTAAAGAACCCTTTAATAACCATCTTCTTTTAAAGTATCATTCTTTAATTAAGGTAATCACACTCACCCTCCTCTCTCGCCAGTGAGCAGCAGTGGGCGGATCGGGAGGACGAACCAACGGACTACCCACGCACCCTCTGCTCGAACGCAGGCCAGTGTTACACATACCCAGACCCCGCCTCGGACCGGCTACGAGGCACGCGGGCCGGGTCCCTGCGTTCTTCCGTGCTGCCCCACTGCGGGTACGCCTGTAGTTCCGTTTGATGCCACTTGCGCGGTGTCTGAGAGCCTGGCTAGAGCTACCCAGCCCGTCTCGATGGCTCCTTCGAACCGTCAGGCTCGGCTAT